TATTGGCCGACCACCTCTGTGGCTCTCCGCCTGCGAATTGCCTACATTGTGAGTCGCCGCTGCTTCTTGTGGGTCCATACATGTGGCACGTTAACACTGATGATATGATTTCACAGCGACGTGAGGCCATTCGCATTTTCCAATCGCTCCGAAAGGGCGGTGGCGGAGGGAATATTTGGAGCCGAGTTGATAAACAGCTGCATAAACTGACTGTGGAGGGTCCCTTATATACTTCCGCGTAAGTCTATGAATGAATCTCTTTAGATACATGGTTCTTCACTAAACGTTGTTTGGCTCAACAGGTTTTACAAGATTATTTATGAATCTGATCGCGCAACCTTTGATGGCGAGGGGTTCTTTGTTGATATTGGCCCAGAGGTCACCTTCGATCTACCTTCGGAAGAGGAGATTCGCGAGGAAATGGAACGCTTGGAACAAGCCGGGGGCACTTTAGTTCTAACTGACTAAACATTGTAACTCTTTGGCAAATGCACATTCTTGCCCCTTTACTAGTTTCCTTTCTCTTTTTTTATCTATCTGTCTATCTATTGTGAAGCCATCAAAATTGTACCAAGATGATATCTGTCATCTTCAATCGGCCTGTTCCCAGATGTCTGTGTGTGATCCTCTCATGCGAAATCTACAGGCTTTCATGCCTATCGCTCCACTGTCATTGGTCCGATTGAATCTTATTTCTTATTCAATGTCCCAAACGCGCCGCTATTGCTGTTTTTGCGCAAATGGCCGGAATCTGATTCAGTACACCGAGAATAAGATTCGTCACTTAATGGTCTACAGGCCGTTTCCCGACCTCATGACCGCCGGGGGACCGCACGTAGACACTTACGCACCACTTAAATTTCGCCTTCGAGGCCGTCCTTGAACCGCCTCTTTGGCGAATTGATGGCGTCCCAACTCTGACTCGCAAGTGACCGCCATTCCCTGCGGGGGGAATGGCAGTCCGACGACCGCCCGGGCTGCCCAGCGGTAGATGGTCGAGTTACCCCGGTGGTGTACTGCCTGCAAAGTGCCTCGGGTTCCGAGTATTGTCACAATGCATTCGACGAGTATGCCCGAGGGATCGTTGAGGGCCAAACAATTCCCGAGATCTTGGCGATTCCTCTCTCCGCCTCCGCTTATGCGTATTGCTCGCTCGGCCGACAAGGAGTTGTCGCGAAGAGTGCTTCATGCAGATTGTATTGGATCTCAAGGTCTGGAGTGACTTCTGGGGGATGTGTACAGCTGCCACAGCAGCAAAAAGCGTATTTCCCTGTAAAATCGTATACAAGGTGGAATATGAGAATCTGTTCTTAAATTATTGATCCATCGGTTTGAGTTTGATGCGTGCGGACAATTGTAACTCCGTTAGTTTAGAAGAGCTATATAAAGTGGACTTTAATAATTCCTTAGCTAATGTTAGAAGCTAATTATATGCACTTGTTTTCTTTATATATCCCTCAAAGTTTGATCATTGTTTGGAGTAAAAGTAACATGTTTCGAACTCTTGAGTAGTCCCAAGCCAATTCCTAATAAAAGGAAGCTGTTCAACTCGCAAAGTCCTTCGAAGAGAGAGAATTGTTAGCTACCTGACAGTTTGACTGATTTATCTTATCTTTTGTGCCATGATAGTGGTAAATTTTAGGATAGTCTTATCTCTGATCTTAATAAAATGCGAACTTCTTCGGCACACGTTGGCATTTCAAGATGATCAAGTTTTAGTACAGGATAGCTTAAAAGCACACTCTGGCTACTTCGATCTCAACAAGTTACCACAACAAGAAATGGAACACGAGTCAGTGAATTCCAATCAAGTGTTCAAGCATATTGGACTAGAAACAAGCGGCCACCAATCCAGCGCGTCTCGCGACGTGAACCTTCCGCAAGACGTTATTATCTCAAGACCACACCTATCGCACGACGTTCAAACACAGGACACACCACGTACCTCCAATTTTAGAATTCGTGACAAATCAGTGATATCATCATCTCAGCCTCGTGAGAGCGACCTTCAATCTGCCATAAAAGAAATTCGGATAAAACTCATAAACTTGTTACGGTTCACTCCAGAGAATGACATGGAGACTATTTTACATTCATCAGTCAAAGACCTACTGGATCCACAATATCTCCTAGGGTTTCAAATGTCCGTTAAAGATAATCTAGTCGGTCTGGAGAGGGTCTCTGATGACAAGGTTGAATATGATATGAAAGTAAAGATACGAAATTTTCAGACTCTGACTCCGATTGCTATACCAGCAGCAGTTTCATTATTCTATGCTAATAGACTGCTTCAAAAGATGGGTGAATATTTAATGTACGATGAAGCCTACAGATCTGGTGCATGGATCAAATTATGGAACACAAGCACAATCTTACCGTTTGTTTATTTCATAATCAGTTGCAATCCATCATACTACATGTGGGAACGCATCGAAAATATCGCCGTCAGTGCATTCAAGGCTTATGATGAGCTTTACGTTCTTAAAAACTCGGCATATGATAAAGAAGATCTCACTCGATTTCTTTTATGGAATACGGAATTGATGCATTATGCGGCAAGATCATCAGATCTTATAGAATCGCCCACAGAGACTTACCAACCCCGATACTTATCAAGAACAAAAGCATCACCTATCTCTCGTATTCTTGCTGCCCTTCTCAGAAAGCCAGAATATGAGCAATACACCTCAAGTAAACTTCGTGTTTCCAGACGTGAACATTTGACAAGATATATACAACGATGTTGGAAATCAGATCTGGAGAAAGGTTATCCGAGAAAACGCGATGGATCTGATTCAAAAAATTCATTGTGGGATGATTGGATGTCAAAATCAGAAGAAATTGGGAAAACGTCGCAAAAAATTTACTGGTCGTCTATGCGAAATGATTTAATTGGACGAGGAAACAACTCGCCAATACTCCTAGTCAGAACAGCAGCAGAATTATCACCAATTTCAAAAGAATCAGAATCAAATCGATTATTTTCTCATCATTCTGAAGAATTCAAGGAAATGTTGGACAATATTCAAAACCCAATAAGACCTAAATTAAGATTGATGAAAAGAGATCAAGATATATTTCATGGTTTGAGTTACTTTTTAAAAAAGCATTCTAAACGAAACTTTCGCACCGAAGCAAATACATCAGAAAATTCATTGGATTTATTATCCGAGTTCCTCGAACAAGATCCGCAGAGTGCGAGATTTGTTACTTTTTGGTCAGAATTCAACATCTATAAAAATGACCTTGTATATAGAAGGAATGCAAGATCAAAGGGAGAAGCATCACGTAATGCTGATAACCCAAACAAAAAAAGGAGAGTTTCAAGAGAAAAAAACCTTTAGGTGTTCAAGGCTTACTTGAGTTGCTCTATATATCTTCATCAATAATTCAAGTCTTGAGCCTCAACACTTTTTAAAACCTTTTCCAAACCGCTTGTAGGATTTTTTGAAAAACCACAAAAGCAAAGAAACATAATTCAAACTGATTTGTAAAAAGCTGAATGATTTCTTTCTGGCAATTACGTTTATTTCTTTGTGTGAATTCAAATTTTATTTATTTACTTGGAATTTGGCTAATTGTTGGCTGCAATTTAACAAAGGATGCCTGTAACGCAGTACAGATTCCGCCATTCTGACGCTAGCGCTGTACGACTATGGGAGGCATACATTAGACATCTGCCCTGTTGAGAGTCTCATTTTGGGTGCTTGTTTTTGGTTAATGGTGCACCCATCGCGCCTCAAGAGGATTTGAGACCCAAATGTCACAAAAGAGGGGGAAAGAGAATAAAACATTAAATATTGTTCTTCATGGAACCCACATTGGAAGCAATCTCCTTGGCTGGTTTTGTAGACTGGTCTTTTGGCATGATAGCAAGTTGTGTGGGACCACAATCCCAAACCAGATCTGAACAGATGACTCCCAAGTATAAGATGGCTGTATGCAATACTGCTTATTCCTTTGTTATTGCACTACTGTGTATATTCACAGCAGATTTTGATATTTTTGTTCTACTCATGTGGAAGACGTTGTAATCTGATTTGATACTATCTATATCTTCTTGCAACCTAAGAATTTGGCATACCGTTAAGCCAAACAGAGGATTTTTTGCATACAGTCTTCATATCACTGAGCTTGCCAGCTGGTGACTTTCTGACAGAATTGGTCTTTAGAATAATCCTAGAATAATGTTAAGATGTGAATTTGTAGTAAAGGGCCGGCCTTATTTCTTTCAAAAGGCACATGTCAACTGGATACAAGCTACTAGAGCTGAATTTACTTGGAATCTGGCTCAATATGTTAACAACAAAGTATAAATCACTTTGAAAAGTATTCAAAAACATGTGGAAGCTGGTGAAAGCTGGTGGAAGCTCCACGCACTACCAGCATTACATATGTTCCTTGGTGGAAACAAGCCGTAGGCTAAGAACACAATTGAGAGTAGAATGAGTCATCAAACCATCTTGCATGTCAGCCCTGGGTAAGTATACATGTACCCAAAGAGTAACTTGTAATATATAACCTTCACTTAGAAAATACAATTACATGTACATACAGTCTAGAAAAGATGTGTAACATGTAATAATATACACATAACCCTAATTACATACACATGTGTCATGTACTCAAGAACTAATATGTAACATATAAGATTACATACAAAAAACAATAGTAACATCTCATAACTCAGTATCAAGAGTCAAAAATGCTTATATTGTACAAAACACGTGATGGTTACTGAACATAACATTAAGTGTAATTGATTATAAAAACAATCATGGGAAAATATTTGAGCCACCAGACTGTGGAAACAGCCTGTATGGGTTACACAACGTCCAAATC